CTGGGCCACCATGATCACGGGGCCACCACCTGGGCCACCATGGTCACTGGGGCCACCACCTGGGCCACCGTGGCCACCACCCGGGCCACCTGGACCACCATGATCACCACGGCCACCACAGCCACCTGGGACACTGGGGCCACTACCTGGGCCACCATGGATACCTGGGCCACTACGGCCACCTGGGTCACTGGGGTCACTGGGCCACCTGGGCCTCCTGGGCCACCTGGGTAACTGGGGCTACTGTGGCCACCAGGGCCACCGCAGCCACCTGGGCCACCATGGCCTCCTGGGCCACCATGGCCACGATGGCCACTACGGCCACCTGGGACACCAGGGTCACGGGGGTCACTGTGGCCACAACCTGGGCCACTACGGCCACCTGGGTCACTGGGGTCACCGGGCCACCGTGGCCACCTGGGCCACCACGTGCGGCTCACCCGGGGATGCCGCCGGCCTCCATCTTGTTGGCCACGGTGACGTCGGTGGACCAGACGTCGAACTGCCATCGCTTCTGTCCCAGCACGCCGCCCAGCACGGCGCCGCTGTGCACGCCCACGCGCATGTCCAGGGCTGTGTGCGTCTGCTCCCGCACAGAGCTGGGGATGGAAAACGGGAATAATGATGGGAATCATGATGGGAATGGGAATGGGAATAATGGGAATGGGAATAATGGGGAATGTCCAGGGCTGTGCGCGTCTGCTCCCGCACAGAGCTGGGGAAATCGGGAATAAATAATGGGAATGGGAATGGGAATAATGGGGAATGTCCAGGGCCGTGCGCGTCTGCTCCCGCACAGAGCTGGGGATGGAAAACGGGAATAAATAATGGGAATAATGGGAATGGGAATGTCCAGGGCCGTGCGCGTCTGCTCCTGCACAGAGCTGGGGATGATAATGGGAATAAATAATGGGAATAACGATGGGAATGTCCAGGGCTGTGCGGGTCTGCTCCCGGACAGAGCTGGGGATGATAATGGGAATAAAAACTGGGAATAACGATGGGAATAATGGGGAATGTCCAGGGCAGTGTGGGTCTGCTCCCGGACAGAGCTGGGGATGATAATGGGAATAAATAATGGGAATAACGATGGGAATGTCCAGGGCCGTGCGCGTCTGCTCCCGGACAGAGCTGGGGATGGAAAACGGGAATAAATAATGGGAATGGGAATAATGGGGAATGTCCAGGGCTGTG